TTTACTCAGTACAAACTACTATGTGAGAAAAGAGAACAAGCCAGTTAAAACACGCCAATATGATCATAGTCCATTACGCGTATATTGTGGATAATCTTATTCTGCGCACTTAGGTTGTGCATTAGGGTTCCAGTTTGTAGCTCCTGTCCCTATTTGATAAAGGCTGAAACACACTAGGTAGTCGCTTTAGTCGCGCGTCTAAAACTACCGCTTTGCGTGGTTACTAAGCTAGTAGCGTAGTCGCGTCAGTGTCGCTGGAAGTTCAACATGTCGAATTTTGACTTTGGTCGCTTCAGTCGCTTTATACGATTGGCCAATAGATACATTTTAACTTCTAAATGCTATCATATTTCCTGTCATATACCTACAAATTTTATAGATTATACCTTGGATAAGGCAATATATAGTGAATTCACACTGAATCTTTCAGTTTTATATGACTTATCAAATAGGGACAATAGAGCAAACTGGAACCCTAATGCACAACCTAAGTGCGCAGAATAAGATTATCCACAATATACGCGTAATGGACTATGATCATATTGGCGTGTTTTAACTAGCTTGTTCACTTTTCTCCACACAGTAGTTTGTACTGAGTAAATATTCATATATTAGTAGCTATAATAAAGGCCAAAATAAAGTTAAGTGATATCTGTGTCTGTAACAAAGTAAAATCACCGCCATGTTCATTAGACGCCACGGTAAAGTCGCGATGGTCGCTGCATGTGTGTTTCTGGCGTTCAAGCGACTGACGCGTGCGCATCAATTCGCTTTGGACGCGCGACTAAAGCGACTGCCTAGTTTGTTTCAGCAAGTCATATAAAACTGAAAGATTCCAGTGTGAATTCACTATATATTGCCTTCGTTTTCCGGTAATCTTTAAATTTCGATGATCTTATGACATTAGGAAATAGTATCTTTATAGGCCAGTGTAAAATGAATCAAGAACATTTAACTTTCAAATAACCACTCGTACGGTGTGCTAGTTTTAGACGCGCGACTAAAGCGACTGCTTAGTGTTTCAGCCTAATGTTTATTCCAGTTTCTGCCGCTTTGTTTGGAATACAAGCTTACACTGTATTTCATTTGTAAGCAAACTTTCTCCGTTCTTGGCCCATAATTTAAATAACCCTTAACTTGCTCAAAATAAACATCCCTGTCAACTGAATATGCCGACCACAGTATAGATATCTTGACAGAAGGTCCACTCGTGTCGGAATCTTTAATGTTCGTGTCCCTTACTTTCAGCAATTTCAAAGATAACACGCCTTCCAGCAAGATACTTCCGCTAGATCGCAATAGAAAATATAGATGTTTTTACAAATATATTGCTTTGCACTACAAAAGCTTGGAACCTTATCTTATTGGAAAGATGATAACTCTTTGTAAAAAGTGATAACTCATGGTAATCATCAAGAATAAATAAGAATTTGCAACGTTATTTAATCTATAACATTAATCAACTGCACGCTTAATGGTGTTAGCAGTTATGCTATACTGGCTGGCTTATTTTCGACTTGAGATGGGTACCTTCCTGTATTCTCAACTTGATCGTAAAAACTCCCCTTCAAATTTTTAGTTTCTTGCTCTGAATTGCAGCAGCTTTATAGTACAAAGTGATGGGCATATTTCATTATCCGTTTAATTTTGTCAATCACAAATTTATCGACTCCATCAAAAATTTTACCTTACTCGCTCTATTTTCGAGGTTTCTCAGTGATATACTAGGTAAGCTGGACTCGTCTTATCACATGTCACAAAATGCCTCTTTACTCTGTCTTGAGCTTTCTAGGATTCAGTACGTATAAGCAAAAACACACTGAACCGAACCATGCATTTTACTAAGATTAGACTTGAATCTCGTTAGATCCTCACCTGCACTTAATTCAAATCTATTATTGCTACATCTGTTTGCAATATATGCAGATGCCATTACTGCATAAGTTTACAAGAACTAAACTTTGGTAAATTTGATTCTACTGGTAACCATCTGGCCATATTGAATAAATTCAACAAGTCTCGCTCTTCCGTCCCATTTTGGTAAGGAATAACTCTCAATGAACAATGTCTCCTTCTAGATTAAACTATTACTTAGAAATTGGAACTCATATCCTGCAAAATCTCCTAAATTATCACTTCTGATAAATTTAGTTTTCCTTTGGTTGCAATTTCAGCAAGAAATTCAATAAACATCTCTTGACATTATATATTGGAACAAAAGAATATTTAGCTACTTAAGCCACGGTTGTTAATTATCTCATTTCACAACTAAATCTGAGAATTCGAAATGTCAAAACGAAACCGCAATGAATTGAAAACATTGACACAATACAAAAATTACGAAATAATCCGATAGGACCTTCACAAATCAGCTCAAAAAATTAAACAAAACTCATTTTAATATATTACATTCACTTGATTTTTCCTATTTAATCTTGATGATCAGTAATCAATAGAGGTTTAGAAAGGCATTAAACTTGAAGAAATCTTTCTTAATGTTAAGACATATAAAAATGCAGATCCAGGTGCCAAATGATGCGTAAATATTTTTCAAATAATACCTGTCTCAGTAACTTGTTGCAAAAATCAAAGTGATTTGATTTCATGGAACATTCACAAAAACAAAAAAATTTTCTGTGATGTTTTCAGGGTAAATTACACACAATAAAAGATCTTTATTGCATATCCTGTATATTACGTTGAAACAGGTTTGAAACATTTGACATTTTAGGGCTTTTATCTCAGGTAACTTAAATATTAGGGTATGGTATTTTGAATAACGAGGTAGAGAATACTTGATTACAAAAACATTTATTTGTTGTTTTTCTTGAAAAGTTTAAGATCCCATTTTGAACTTCTACGAATTTTCATCATCAACAAAACCTCACAAAAAGCAAACCTAATTGTAAGTGCTCTTCCTCAATGTAAGAGAGAAGGAAAAAGATAGAAAAAGAGTTATTACAAATCGACGCAACTTATCTTGTAACTTGATGTAGTTTTAGTACGTTCATCAAAACAATATGGTGAAACAAACTTTGCACTTTAATTTATTTGACTATTAGTTTAGCCTGTGTTCAGGCATAAACGATCTAATATAGTATAGGCAAGATAACAATGCCAGGAAGTTTTGTAGCTATGTGTATAACACACCGTTGTTGACGCTAGGTCGTTACTACTCAGCGACATGTTTGCCAGGTTACCGCGTAGTCGTTCTAACATTGAACTAAAATACATGGAACGCTACCTAAAGCTAATAATTTAAGCCAAAGCCCAAATCTACACAGATACGCGAGATTTTCACCAGACATGCGTGCTTAGTGTTTTGGGACTCTCGCGCGGAAAAATAAATGATTGACTTCACAAGCGTGTCTGGGGTAAAATCTCGCGTTTCTGGGGTAAAATCACGGCTTCAAAAAATTATTAAGGTTTCACAAATAGCATTCCATATATTTTAGTTAAATGTTATAACACCATCTGCAATCATGTCGCTATGTCGTTATGTTGTTGAGGTGTAAGGACCTAACGACGAAGATTACAAAGGTTTGATCGAATTATTAGTGTTCTTTCTAAAAAAAAGTGTAAAGAAATTCGTTAAGCCTTTTTCTTAGGCATAATGAAATGAAAATTTCTCATGTTCTTATCTAGGATAGTAAATGTATTCTATTGTAAGCAGATTCTGTTAAAACCAATGACGTTTTAGCATTTCGTAAATATTTTGTCTAATAAAGCAAGGATGTTATTTACAAATGAAGTAATTCGTACACAAATTAATAAATAAAGATGTTTACTGCATGTGTTTGACAGGCTTATGCAAATCGAGGAGACCTTTGGGAGAACTCGAGTAGATCAGTGCAAGGCTGAGACCGAAGGTCGAGGGTTACATGCTCAAGAGTTTTACAAGCGTCTCCAAGATATGCATAAGCCAGTGGAAATACGAAAAACTTCTATTTTTTTTTAAAATAACAATAATGCGAAAGAAAAACCGTTTTTTAATATTCTTTTAACGTGTAGTCATGATTAATTTGCAAATTCTCTTTGATTGATTGATTGATTTGATTAGTTGAGCTCAGATCGTTTTTCCTAGACTAATGCAAACACCAATCAGCGCACGTGTTTCATTGTGTTTATTTTATAATATGAAATAATGTCAAGCAAGCGATACTTTAACGTTACATAACAGTAGATTTTCTAAATTACAAAACTTTCTGAGGATACCGCACTGATCTGGTTATGATTCTTTACTGATATATGTAGCTGTAGTCTCTAGTAAGGAAAATTTCAAAAAAATGAAATGTTTTCACTAATAATTTATAATTTGCATTCATTGTTTAATCATAAGCATTGAAATTGAAGAAATGGTACTTTATGCTGTGCTTGTTGTTTCATAAATCATATATGATTAGAAACGTAATAATTCATGAATGCAATATCTGATGTCATTTTCTAAAATCGTCATCCATTTTGAGTGAGAGAAAATGATTCTTAATTTTTATTTCGATATCATACTCCACAAATTTCTGATTCCTACAATGCATCAATTTATTGGTAAATTAACCAAAGGATTAACAGGTCCCAACAGAAAAACTAAATGTCAAGACTTACAATAGATTGAGTTTTTCAAGTTTTCTTTTAATTACAAAGTATGTCGAGGTTTGCCTCTCCTTTAGGAACACATCCTAAAAAGATTTTATTAATTTTATTTTAATGCAATCGCAGTTATCTCTGGTTAGTGGGCAGTACAAGTGACATGGTAGGTAGCAATCACCAGCATTGTATTGGGAATCCACGCAATAACTTTATGAAACTTCAAAAGAAAATCTTACGGCTTGATTTGTGAATTATCAAAGATAATGTAATTCAGTAAATCATTTGATTTGTCAATAATACTTCATTCTTGGCAGAAATAAAACTTCATCATTTTACTTTTCTTTATAGATTATGATAATATGTAAATTTACTTTATATGATAATATGGTTGATTACAACTTGTTTACACGTAGTTTTGTATTACAGATACATTTCAACAATGGATAACAATGTCAAACACACAGCATTTTCTACATAAGCTTTTAAATTTTCACACACATTTTACGAAAAGCATCTTCGATTAGAATTAGGTTTTCAGTGTATTTCTTTGACATGAATCCCCATCACTAGGATCTTTCCTCTTAACCTATAAAATTTTAAAAAATTTAACTCTTAGAAAAGCGATTTCCTGCTTTCAGTATATATGAAAGATTACAGGAAAACCCTATCCATGATCGGAACAGGAAAAAAATCCGCAAGGTTTGGCCAGTTTTAAATTTTGTCTGTGATTACTACTTGTGTTTGCCAAGTCTTACACCATAATCAAATCAAAACAGTTTCATCCATTGTCATAATCATAGTATTGTTCCTTGGTAGCAATAGAAAGATGAAGCACGTCATTTTTTGCAATGAAAAGTAAAAGAACAATACAATACACTACAAAATTAATGCACCATCTTTCTTCCAATGAGTAAGAGTTAGTATGCATGGAACATGATAATACAAGCAATGTTCAAAGAGAATATCAATCTGGTAAACAATCAATTGCAATTGGGTAGTATGATTTAATAATGCAGGATGTAACAGATACCAATGAGAACATACACATCATTCATGAATACATAAAACTGTATGCATTTTTCTTAGCTTCTCCCAAAGCTGCTGCAATGTGGCTGTGCTATTCACATACTGAAAGGGAAGTATCAGACAAACACAAAGCAAATGCATTTTGAAAACATGTAAATGCCCCATCCTTATGTTTTGGTGAATAATATATTAGCATTATAAAAAATTCAATGCTGGTAAAACAGATGGAATGATAAACTTTTATCCCTTCCATTGAAATGGAGCATGCATTGTACACACAGTTCCCATCAGCCAGTGTATTAAACACAGAGAAGTATTTGCAATATTCAAAGAAAGAAAGTGATAAATACCGAACTTACATTTACTTTCAAGCTTCATAAAATGATAAGAATACTTGGTGTATATTATAAACACATATTTTGATAAATCGGAGAAAAGGTCAGGAATAAGGTGTTTTCAGTGGAGCTGGTTGATGATGTTTGTATAAAAATGCAAATAGTGTAAAATAGTAAGTAGATTTCCCACAGTCGAGTGTCAAAACAATATAGGTAGTATTGATAGCACTTTGATGTCACATGAAAACATAGTGAGACCATATGTATAAAATAACACAAACACCAATTACTAACACATATTTCATACATCTATAATCATAAATAATTTTACTTTATTGGTAGACAATTTCCTTTGTAAGGTTAATGGTCAGGTTTCTTAGGTATATTATAGTTTGAAAACACTGTAAAACACACAATTAATCATTTCATCATGCATTATTCAATTTTTGCCAGACAGAATTGTATGATATAGTTAGCTAGAATCATGAATATGCTATCATCATGTATCCTAGCCAAAAATAATAGAAGACTCATAAATATTTTAACATGAAATAATTAAGAAAAGGAGCCTTTGATTTTGATCGTTCTCTCTGACTCTTGGGAAACTGTAGTTTTCAAAATTCGCACAGATTCACTGTAATCTGTTTACAATCACCTAAACGATTTCCTCTCTCAGAAATAGCTTTTTCGCAATGTTCTCGAAGCAATATTAATTCACCAGTGAAGTGATATCCTTCGAGTTATAATGCTAAAAAAGGTCGCTGACTTTCGATAAAGCAATGGAATCCATCTTTTTAACCGGAATTGTCGAAAATATTGTCCGAATACAAACTGACAACACGCACGCGTAAGTGGATATTAGGATTAAGTAATTTTAATTCAGTCGAATTACTATGAAATTGCGCAATAAATGCGCAACCGTGGCCAACTGTGATCTGCCACAATCAGGTGATCAAAATTGTGAGCTTTAATTAGTTAGACACCCTTTAGAATAACGTCACTGTGGATAAAAGTACCGAAAGTGCGCAAGAAAGCGCTCACTGACCATGTCCAATGGTAAGATTTGCGGTCACCTTTTTAATCGTAACAGTAGTATACAGAGCGTTGCCGCTGGCCCATTTCACCATGAGAAAGCGTCGTTTCTAGCGCACCTCACAGTTTGAAAGGAGTATACACAAATCTAAGCGCCCCAGCCCTAGCTCGCTTACGTACTTCTTGTAATTATGCTAGCATAATTACAGCGAAGGTCAAACCCAGGACAACGGCAGGAGCCAAAGACGTTGTCAACTTGTTGTCAAGGAAAATCGAATATAAAAAAGCCAACGGGCGCTGCCGAGTCTGTGACAGAGGCGTCTCTAGTTTCTTTCTTAAAGTGAACTTCTGGATAAAAGGGAGGAAGAATGAGGTTTGAATACTGCCCTTCCATTTTGGTATTAATCCTATTTATTTGGCAATCAAAGCCGCGGATAAAATTGATAAAATCAGAAAAGCTTGGTGAACATAACACATCAAACTAAAACATAGTCAAGTGAAAATGACGGTCGCGCTTTGTGTGCGTTGCAAAAGACTGCAACCAGTTATAAGTGGTATAGTTGTAAATCACAACTTAACCCAAAACTTGCAGGTGTTGTGGTGTATGTGGTAGTGCTGTTTCTAGGTTTCTTCCCAAAGCGAGTCTCTTCGTAATGGAGGAAAAATGATCGTTTCTACGGACGGAAGCGTTGAGGAACTCGCAGAGGCCTACTACAGTCCTGCGGGGTACTGGCGCGTCATTGCTGCTATCCCAAAGCTAGCTAAAGAGGCTGCCGTCGGCAGGATGAGGCTCATGAATGGCTAACAAGCCATCTGGTAGATCTACTTGCCCGCACCAGCGCAAGTTCTATCCCCGACCTAAGTTTGACATCAGCACCACGAATGAGGTGCACCAGGCCGATATCTTGTATCTGCCTCACGATCGAGTCGGAAGACGCATTCAAATACGCATTGACGGTCGTCTACGTGGCAAGTCAGTATAAGGAGGCCTAGGCAATCACAGACAAGACAGCGACATAGGTTGGGAAGGCGTTAGAGTCTATTTATGCCCGTGGGCCTCTTCGAAGGCCTAAAATTTTACAAATTGAACCTGGTTTGGAGTTTCATGGGCTGTGCAAAAGCGTGTGATAAAATGGTGTCACAAGTCGACGGGGTAAGATTGGGTTTATAGAGATCAAGAGATCGTAAAAGATTTAACCGAACTTTGGCGGTTACCAGTATCATCGCGAGCTGGCTGAGCCTAGAACTTGGAACAAAGAATGGGTACCTGTGTTTGTCGTCTTCGGGCTGAGCTGCAACTACAGGTTGCACTCATTGTGGGCCGCACCTGCTTGCCAGTAATGTGGCAATAGTCTCGAACGTAATTGATTTTGAGGGGCTTGCTGCAGACGTGGCTTTCTTGTGGCTCCCCCTGTCTTTCCTGTTATGTGCATAGGCTTGGGGTTAGACAACACCGTCTTTATCTCGCGCTCTTCTTCTTGGAGCGCTTCCAGGAAATGCTGGGCCTCGTTGGGCCCGTGGTAGAGCTGCGGCGGCTGAGTTTCCCAATCCGAACGAACGACTATGAATGAGTAGCCGCATGTCTCGTGTCTAGAAGTTTGCTGGGTCGCTCTTTCCGCTCTTTCGGTCTTAAAAACAGGCTCTCAAGTCTGCGTAGATTATGAATGGCGTTTTGAGCTGCTTGTGGTAGTTCTCAAAGCGGATTTTGTCATTGCTTCTGGGGTTGGCATTCTGATGGCAACCACGGCCTGGTTTATGCCTCGACATTCAGGCTTATGCTTTTCCAACAAATCCTGCTTGACGAAGCCGTGAAGGCAACGCTCGCAGAAGTGCAGCTGATGGGGGCCACTGTGGTTGAGAAAGTGGTTGAAGTTCTTGATCCAAGTGTAATGGTGTTTCTCAGGATTTTCGAATCCGAGATGAGAAAGAGATACACAGTCTTGTGAGCTCTCTACTTTGCTTAGACGGCAAGGAACGACGCCGCCTTCCCACCCGTACACCCTGATAGCAAGGTCGTTCTAACGCTCTACTCGTTTGAGCTGGGAGAGTGGTGTGGGTGCGCTCACTCCCGGAATTCAAGGCAGTCTTTAGTGGGATACTTGCCCGGCCGTTGCGGGTCTTTAGCTGCAGGAAACAGCACAGCCCTTAGAGACCAGCGGAGGCAGTCGTAGTCTTGTTTTTCACGTTGACGATTGCCTTCTTATTCTTGACCGTGGTGGGAGAGGAAGGTATGAGCCTCCGCGTAAAGGCTGATAGTGAGCGATGTCAAGCCAGACAGTTTTGACACGACCACTATCCACCCAGATCCTTCCCGAGTGAACTTTCCCAATCTCTCCAGGATTGTTGGAAAGGCTTCATGTATGGCTTGTGGAATCTCATGCTCCTGTAGCTGCGTGATCTGCTTTGTCCGGAACACTAGCGCTTGAAGCACTTCAGTACAATTTGCTTCATCGTTCTGAAGCTCAACCTCTACAGCCAACTAGAACTAAACTCCTCGTAGAGCTAATAGCTCCTCGACGAGTTTGCGTTTGATGCAGGTTTGGGCGTTTCTGAGGATAGCCATCAAGTTGCGTTCGGAGGGGTGCCCCTTCGGCACCTGCATATTCCAGGCTCTCAGATGATAGCTAAAAGCCTTTGTTTCATCCCGCTTAGGTTCCGTAGGTGGTGGGGGGTAGACCTTGTGGGGCGTCGTGGCTTAGATTCAGCCGGAAGCTCATTGATTTATGCGTTCATCTCATCATCAATAAGCTCGGCGGGCCTGTGCTTGCGCGGTTTTGGGATAGGCGGAGTGACATTTTTTGGCGTGGGTGTCGGCTCAGCGGGAGGTTGAAGAGCCTTAAGGGAGGCGTTCAGCGCGTGTCCGCTGATTACACCTTGGTCATATATTTGCAGAAGTTTCTCGACAGTATTCATCTCAAGTGTCGCAAATTTTAGTGCTATATCTTACGCGAAATAATTCTCTAAATCGAAGTTAATTCGGCAAGTACTCTAGCAAATCTTTTTCTTGCTTGTTTCTGTTTATAAACGAGCTTAAGATGCACCCTATCGGCACCGCAGGCGAGAAAGGATAGTTTCTGCCTGTGTTCCGACGCCACACTTACGACATGGTTGTGGAAGTCGCCCGCCTTAATCGCTTCATATGAAGTCCACAGTTTTCACCTATGGAGCTTCTCCCACATGTGGTGAGTTTCCGGGTAGAAACCACGCACACTTTGGATTACTCTATGCGAGTATATCTCTATAAATAATAGACCCGACGGCCGGCCGCGCAGGCGCCGTCTTTGGTTCCTGCCCTTGTCCTGGTTTGACCTTCGCTGTAATTATGCTAGCATAATTACAAGAAGTACGTAACGAGCTAGGGCTGGGGCGCTTTATTTGTGTATACTCCTTCTCAAACTTAGAGGTGCGCTAGAAACGACGCTTTCTCAAGGTGAAGTGCGCCAGCGGCAACGCTCTGTATACTACTGTAACAACAAAACTGGACTCCGAACAGCAATCGAGTTACGTTTTGTAGGATAATCGGATTACATTAGGCAAATCAAAACGGCGTAATAATACGATGATTTATAAAATCTGTCGCATGAATGCGAATTTCGAGAACGCTAACAAGTGCATTTCATGAGTTAATTTTTACTGTTTTTGGTTAAAAAATAGGCTCAATAAACTGAATAAACTAAGAAAATATATGTTAAATGTCGGAATTTCAAGATTTTTTGTCGAATTCTGACCGTTTCCAGTGCCACATTGGACACCCCAAGGATCCTCTATGGTATAGTACGTATTTACCGGCTGGGAGGTCCGTATACGGAAAAAATATTTTCACAAGGTCTGCAACTTAAATTTGAGACTAAAAATGGATGCTTTTCAGCAAACTTCGCTTTGTCTGTAGGTAAAATGCACTCTTGCTACGAAATCTTGAATCTGAATACACCTTGCTTACTCGTTAAACAATTTACATCGCTTTCATCTCAATTTTATAAAATTTGCATGTCACTTCGTAAACAAATACATTGCGAAAAATTATGTTGAGACTAAAATTTAATTTTCTACAAACTTTGCTTCGTCTGGATAGTAAAACTCACTCTGGCTATGATAAATATCATCTTAAGACATTCTGCCTCGTTCAACAATTTACATCGCTTTTCAATCATACTTAAAAATTTACATTTCAATTCGCAAGCAAAACATTGCAAAAATATCTGTTGTGCCCACGGGCAGATGTGCGTAAAAGCTGAAACATTTATACTAAACGTTTCGAGAAATAATACATGTCATCATCAATAGAGTATGTGAGCTTTGCAAAAGTTATTTGTATGTTATTTTTTTCCTTCTTTTGTAAAAAAAGCACGCATGAACAATTTTAACTTAATTTTTGTTATTTATATGAAATTATTAAAGGTGTTTATAGTGTTCGTTGATAACATGAAGTTTACTGTGCTGGACAGTTTGCCTGTCCAATGTCCATAGCTTTTACATATTAAAATATAGTATGCATTAAATTGCTAATGCAAACCTTATTAAATGTTAAATTCAAAATACTTACTTCTTATGATGATATTTGACGCGGCTGCATCATAACCAAAGCTATTACCGGCCCGACATTGATATTGACCGACGTTATTTTCAGACAGAGACTTAATACGAAGTCGACCGCCTTTTTTAATTTTCACATTCCCCTTTGAAGAAACACGATTACCATTTCGCAACCATGTTATAGTAGGTGCAGGTGTACCAGTAGCTTTGCACACAATGGTAAGTGAAATGTTTCGACGGGATAATATTTCCGAGCCAACAAGTGTTTGGTAACGTTTCTTACGAGGTGGAATGATTTCGCGTTCTTTTTGATTTCTCAAAATTTTTGGGGCTTCTAAACAAGAATGAAAAATTATCAATAGAAGCTAATAAATTTTGATATATTAATGTCAGGAGATATTATATCATAAAAGGGCAAAGATGCAATAAGTTATCGTTAACTTTACGTAGACATAAATAAATGTATGTACTGTCAAGCAATTCTATCAATAAATTAGGAATTTCAAAAGTCGCGATATCTTGCTTTATTTGTAATTTGAATGAACTTTAAACAATGTTTATACATTGCCATATATCTGTTCAATCAAATACAACTGTTCTATGTATACTTATATTCCATATCATAAGCAGGGAGTTTCTTGGCGAAATTCGTTAAAATTGTTATCAGTCTGCTTTCCTATGCAGATTGAATTTTTTGATGATTAATGTAGCAAAGCTATTTGTAAAAAATATGGGAAGATTACGCGATAACTTAAACAAAAATTAGGTACCGCATATTTTAAAACCTTGGGTTATGATATTGTGTTTTATTACATAAGAGAAACAGGATTTAAAAGATGTATCAGTATATAAACTGCACACAAGCATTGTTCTTATGTCATTTTAAAGTAAAATGACGATTCTTATAATAATTTATATGCTGTAAAATAGACAACATGAACAATGTTAAGATGAAACACAAACAGCATATTTGTCATCTAACAATTTGAACTGGTGTAAAAAAGAATGTAAGAGAAAAAAAATATAATTTGATTACTATCTTTCATCAATTATATTTTTTATTTGTCTGAACTTACAAACGAACTCTCAGTAACACATGAAGTTGAAATTTTCAAACCTTTTTTAAATATTTCAGTTCTCTATAAAATATAACCTCAAAGTTTCTAAGACGTTTCGCAAACATTAAAGTATTTTAAGCTTTTAACTTAAAGCTGCACATACCTGCAACTGAGTAGAATCCACCCAACCCAACCCCCATGTAAGATGTACACTTCTTGTAATCATTTTATTTTTGCCACCTTCTCACAATATTGCAAAGTTTTTACAAAAATAGAAAACATATTTTACAGTTAAATTTTGGATGTAAAGGAGAAAATTAACTTGAGATTTCAAAATACTATAAGAAACGCAAATGATTTATGTGCTTATAAAAGATCAGAATTCCTTACATAGTAATATATTTACAATATTCCTGCAATAATTATAAAATAACAATAGCCTTCGTGAAAAGTTAAGAAACATTTACACCTAAAAGCACTGTGGGTGTTGTTACTATACCTACTGCTGAGGGAATTGTTGTTATTTGGCTTCGTGTTACTAAAACTAAAATTTGTACTCGTGTGAGTCTTAATTGATGAATTTTTTGTGAAAAAGATAAAAACTAATTCATTCCATAATATTGTAATCGAGAAAGAAATACTAAAATAAGGAAATCATAACACCAAAAATGTGCATGAACTTGCGTTAATCTGTCAAATATAGCTCGTTTTTACGCCCATTTCAAATAACATTCCAAATTTTCCAGATTAAAGTCAATTTCATTGTAATGTGTGCTTACATGAATTTTTTTTATGTCTGAATAAAAAATTCCTGTCTAACTCTAATAGCGTTAAATTGAATAGTTAGAAAGTCATTTGAAATTTTATTAAACCCAGTAGAAATTTAATGCCATCTACTGAAAAACGTTATTACACATTATTTACATACATTTTTTGACCTTATTTATTGTACCTCTTAAAAATATTGCTTATTTAGGTTTTTAAAGGAAGTGAATGCTTAACAGTAAAACCTAATTTTCTCACATTGAAAATTAACAAGATATGTATGAATGAATTTTATCAGTGCATACCACCTATACTAAGCGGCGGATGACTCATTGCGCGGCCTGTAGGCTTAGAAAAATTTGTGGCACTTTAAGTGATATAACTTTCTCCCAAAAAGTTCAGTATTTTGAGGACGTTTTAAAAATACTGAACTTGAGGCCCTGTGGCTCCAGTATCTCCTTTAGGCGCTTGAGGCCCTGGAGGCCACGCGGCCCCTGTAGACCCCGGCACTATTCTTGGACCTGTTATACCTCTAGTGCCTTGTTGCCCTTGAGGTCCTTGAAGTCCTTAATGCCCTAGAGCTCCTGTGGCCCCGGGCGCACCATCTCTTCCATTGGTCCCATCAGTTCTGTCATCTCCTCTAGGACAATCATCACCTTTCTCTCCTTTTGGTCCTCGAAGACCCGTATCTCCTTGAGCCCCTGTAGCGCCTGTATCACCTTCTTCTCCCTTTGATCCTCTAGGACCCGTATCTCATTGAGCCCTCGCAGCTCCTGTGTGACCTTTATCTCCCTTAACTCCTCTTGGGCCTCTAGGCCCTGGTGGTCCTGCTTTTCCAGATCCATAACAATCATCAGTTCCACCGATTACTTATGTTGCCATTAGTTTGATGCGACGGTTAGTTTGATGCGATGTTTAGTTTGATGCGACGTTTATATACTTACTATATATAATAGAAAATTTTTTTTATTAATTACTGGATTTATATTTTCATGAATTGAACAATATGGCGGCGGTAGAAGTTTAAATGGACTTGCTCGAAATAAGCCGGATCATACGAGATATAACAGATATACATGCGATTAAATTAATAAAGAAGAAGCCCTTTTGATTTTTGATGGTCAACAATTAAAGTGGACAGGTGACCTGACATCTTTGCAAAATTTTGTCGAAAATACCGTCGGATTGGTGGGCATTTGGAAATCACCCGGAGGTAAATCAAAAAAGTTTGTTAGCAGCGATCTAGATTTGATTATAACTTGGTACCCGGTCAAGCAAAGTGCAATGTCTTTGATAGAAAGGACGGAGAATCATTTAGGAATTTGTTTATAAGCGTCTTGGAGTCCTCAAGCGCTAACTTGTCAGAAGTACAAGATAAGATTAACACCGATATTGAAAATAAGCATGAAGCTGCTGAGCAAACTATACGTGAAAGCTGTGAAACACGGGACGAACTTGCTAAATCTGAAACGCGAAATTTGCCTGTATCGGCTTTTAACCAGTCGACAATTGAGGAGTTACAGCACTTTATTGATAGTTCCTTTCAAAAACTTTCCTCACAAACAAATAAAGACGATTTAACGGAATCTCTTATCGGGGCAACTCCATGTCGAACCGCAGACGTTGAAACATCCTTAGAGGACAAGTTTGATGAGTTTAAAAATCAAATTGAATTAACGGTGTTTAAAATGGTGGCAAAAATTTCAGAACAAAAGCAAGTCATACTTAGAAACAAGCAAGATATATGCAAAATTGACAACAGAAAATTTGAATCTAAAGTCACGCTTAATAAAGATGGAAAGTGAAGTGCTTGTTTCGTCACATGCCACGCCAACTATTAAACCAAAAATTCCTTTAAATGACGAAAAGACTACATCGCAAAACAATGTGCCCTTAATTTGTAATGCAAAACCTGCTAATATCGAGAAAAGCGTAGGCGTGCAGGACTCAGTAAAATCCCCTGCAGCAGGTCAAGGCTGCAAGAGTAGGAGAACGACTCAAGTTCAAATTGATAAACAGCTTATTGAGTATCGACGAAAGCAACAAAGCAAATATCAGAAAGATTTCCCTAGTAATAAATGCTTAAATCAACTTGAGTCCCCATTACATGAATATCAATGCAAGCAGCGGAATAATTATCAAAGCTGTAAAGTCAGCGAAACGATTAACACTCAAAACCAGCAGTCGCAAAGAAATGAAATTCTTAGCAACCAACTTGTCTCTCAGAATACCGAGCACCAACGAAAACATCAGAGCAACTTTAAAGTAGATAAAGAGTTAAAAATCCCACGAAGTGATAGAGTAATGAAGCGAGTACATTCGACCGCACCAGGCCATAAACAAACCCATTTTTGGCATCGTCAGTCGTTCCAACGACGCCCTTATCACCAATACTTCCATCAACAAGTTCCTTTGCAGAATCGTCAGTTCACTTCTTTGCATCTTAAGCACCGTTATTCCCATCAATAGAAATTACCAATGGAATTCAGCCTGACGAAAGAATTCAGAGAGGAACAACAAAAGTCTTGGAGAGAATACCTTTGCTATGTAAAAAAGGCGACAGCCAACAACACCAACACGATCAATTTATAGTGAAAGACATTCTTAAAGAAAAAGAAGACAATACATTAGAGTGTTGTTTGTCTATCACACAATCGCTTGCGTTCGTTCAAACAATACCTACACTAGTAAGATCGTCTCTTAATCCAAGCGATCATTATAACTTACGTTCCCGTTGCAGACCGTCTGCTCATAACAAAAGCAATTGTATTATTATTCCAAGAGTAACCTTTAAACGTTGTGGATCACCAAATGTATTTGTACCATCCCTAATGTTGTCTAATATCATGTCGCTGGTCCCAAAATTCGATGAATTACATGCGTACATTTCGAGTTCAAGTGTGGATATTCTATGCATCGTGGAAACTTTGTTGCAAAGTCATATTGATGATAACATTGTTTCGCTACCCGGATATAATTTAATTAGACGCGATAGACGTGAACGCATTCATGGTGGTGTTTTCGTCTACATTCGAAATACAATTAACTTTAGCACCCTGCAAGACCTTTTAACTAATGAGTTCGAAGCATTATGGTTAGATCTAAGACTGACCCGCTTACCAAGAGGTGTGTCCAATATTATTTTATTTAGTTTGTACCACCCACCGGGGGTAAATGATGAGGCTATGATCAATTATCTTTTTGAATCAATACAAACAGTTGAAACAAAATTTCCAAATTGTGGGATAATTATCTCGGGCGATTTTAACAAATTAAACGTTCGTCTGCTAAAGAATAGTTTCCAATTGCGTCAGATCGTAAATTTCCCTACTCGTGGCAATAATAAGCTGGATTTGATTTTAACAAATTTGAAAGAATTTTACGATTCCCCAATCAAACGTCCTCCCTTGGACTATCCGATCATGTCACCGTAGAAGTGCAACCATTAAAAGATCTGAAAACTCTGGGACTAAAGTAGTGGTAATGTCAAGGATTTGCGACCATCCAAACGTTCGGCCTTTGGTAAATATTTAGAAGAGGTTAATGTCGAACAGTGGGTAGGAAGAAATAGTGACGACAAAATGAGAAATAGTGATGACAAAATGAAAATGTTGGAGCTCATCATTAACTTTGGTCTTGATTTCCTACTCCCCACAAAAAAGAAGGTGCTGATCAATAATGAGCCTCCTTGGATGACCAAATCGCTAAAACAACTGATCCGCCCAAGGGAAAAAGCTTTTGCACAAAAAGACTATGAATCTTTCAAGAAATTAAGAAACCAAGCAAACCGAGAAAGAAAATCTTGTCGGAAACGTTTTTATCAAAACAAAGTAGAGCATTTAAAATCGTGTTCATCTGCAAGTTGATGGAAGGAAATCAAAAAGTTAAGTGTCATTTCACCGTCGGTTTCTCAACAGGAAGATATGATGTCAACCTTGCAAAATATTGATAATGCACTAACACCCTCTGATCATTTTCCTGCTTGCAAACATGATCAACAAATCCTTTCTAACACCCATGAAAGATTTTAACCCACTGCCCCAACATTTATTCCTTAATAATGAGAATGATGATTTCCCGAGGTTATTACCTGTCACTGAGTTTACTGCTTTCATGATGTTGTCAGCTCTTAACGCAAGGAAAGTAACTGGCCCAGACGGTGTTCCCGCCTGGGTTCTAAAAGAGAATGCTGATTTATTGGCCGCTCCATGGCAGATATTATAAACAGCTCCTTTAAAGAGGCACGGTTACCAGAATCATGGAAAAAAGCAAATATTACACCGATTCCAAAGCAGAAACCTGTACGAGATATTAATAAACACTTAAGACCTATATCACTTACTGCGATTGTATCAAAAGTAGCCGAGGAGTTTGTTGTGGAAAATTATGTCAAGCCAGCTGTACTTTAGAAGATAGACTCTAATCAATATGGGGCAATTCCAAATTCAAGCACAACTATAGCTTTACTTAGTATGTTACTGTCGTGGAATAAAGCAACTGATGGCAACGGGGCGGCCGTTCGTGTGCTGTTATTGGATTTCAAGAAAGCTTTTGATCTGATTGATCATAACTTATTGGTTGAAAAACTACGCTCATTTGATATACCGAAATGGGTTCTACACTGGATTATGGATTTCCTCTCCTCCAGGAAACAAAGTAAAGCTGAAATTCGATTGCTTTTAGAGTGGGAACTCGTACCTGCAGGCGTTCTGCAGGGAACAAAATTGGGGCCTTGGCTATTTTTGATAATGATTAACAATCTTAAGTTACCCAATATTGAAATGTGGAAATTCGTGGACGATACCACTCTTAGTGAAGTAATTGAGAAAGATCAAACAAGTAACTTACAAAACCAAAAGAACACATTAGCGAACAGCATCCCGCGTGATAAGTTCCAGTTAAATGAAACCAAATGTAAAGAGATGCGGATTTGTTTTGGATCTAATACCAATGACCTTCAACCAATTGCCATCAATAACATTACACTGGATATTGTCCAACACGCAAAAGTTTTGGGATTGGTTATAGCCAGCAACGTTAAGTGGAACATCCACATAAATTAAATAACTAAGGAATACCGTAAACGCCTCTATTATCTTATTCAACTAAAACGAGCAAATATCGAAGTCAAGGAATAGCTCAATTTTACAAAACGTGTATAAGACCTGTCTTAGAGTTTGCTTGCCCAGTGTTCCACAATAGTCTGACATTGTATCTGTCAGATGACCTAGCGTCAGTCAAAAGCGAGCATTAAAAATAATCCTGCGTCATCAAGAATATGAAAACGCTCTGCAGTTTACTAAATTGCAACGCCTTAACGAAAGAAGGAATGATATAACAACAGCGTTGTTTCAAAGATAGTAGCAGATTCCTCACATAAGCTTCATGACCTTTTTCCTCCTCGTTTAGAACGTTCAACGATGGAATTTAGGACTCAATCTTCATTTAATACTAACTTTAATACCAAAAGTTTTAGAAATAGTTTTATAACTTATAACTCATTGAAGATGTAATTCAGTTAATTCATTTATGTATGTATTATATGTAATCTTAAGCGTTTTCAGCAATATGGCTGCAGGTTTTAAGAAATAAATCATCTATCTATCTATATTTGACCGCGAGAGAATCTATAACGAGCCCAGCCAGACCCGCGATTTTTGAAAGCTTGAGCTTCTTCTTCACGGTGTGCGCTTTGAGCAGCGGCGGCAACAGCTTCTTATTTTCACGCTCTAAGTTCTTATTTGTCGTTTTCATCTCTTTGAGTAGAGCTACATCGGCAGCCTCTTTTCTTACGCATCGGAGTGTCGAATTCATCTTTAATAACGCGTTTACGCCAGTTAAAGCGCCGCATTTGATCCAGAACCTGTTCAAACTCTTCATGTGAGACTTGTATATCACTGAGAGCACGTGACGTAATATCGCCAACAGTCATCAGAATCGTCGTAGCAGCTTGGGCTATGCGGTCGTGCTGTTTAGCCTTTTTTATCAACGTTTTTACAAACAACACGCCCAACACCTGGGATCAACTTGCCAGTGGCAGCAAGAGCTTCAAGAGCGGCCCCAGCCAGGCGCCCACACCATAGAGTGAGAGCAATACCTCCAGTTCCTGTCACGACTGTAAAGGCACTCGATGCAGCAGATAAGGTGTCAAGTGTCAAAGTAATGCGTGTGTATTTCTTACGCAGCTTATGACGAGCGTCACGCTCTTGGCGGAGATCTGCCTCAGTGTTTAAAAGTGCAAACAAGGCGAAAGTTGCTCGTTTCGATTGATGAACGGGGTGAAAGCACGTCTTCTACTCCTTGCTATTCATATTCACGTTTTAAATCCGGACATATCCGTGGTACTGGCATAGGAACATCTACTGGCTCGACTGGATGTGCGCTTGCAGTTTCCATTTTCTCGCAGGATTATATATAGATGCAGAAAAGTTGGTCTGTTAGACTGATGTGATTTTATATAATACGGCAATCATAAATTTCGACCCACCCACCCTAAAAATCAAAGCCACCATTGGATAATGTCTGAAAGCCATTATCTGATCGTACCCTACTAATTCCGGTAAAACGAACCTTTTAATTAACATGATTATGCGTTGGCTTGTTGCCCTAAATCAACTATTTACACAAAAAGTCGGACCAGAAAAAATTTCAGATTCTATCAGAGTTATACGAAAGCATCGGCCTGGAAGTATGTGTTGAATTAAAAGAGCCTGACGATGAAATTCAAGTGGAGGAGTTGGACACTAATCTCGAGACAGTAATCTTTGACGACATTCGGCTCGATTCAAAAAGCTTAAACCCAATCAAAGAGTATTTCTCAGCAAGTTGACATAAGAATGTCACAGCCATATACTTAGCGCAAATCTACTACTACGTCCCAAGTATATTCGACGAAATATCGGCTGTATTGTGCTTATGAGAGGTCTTCACCAGCGCGACGTGAGAGAAATCGCAGCTGACCACGCTGATGGTATTACAAAAGAGGAGCTAGCGGCGGCTTACCATGAAGCCACTGAAAAGAAGTACGGCTACTTTGTAATCGATCGTACTGCAGAGGAGGCTCCTATTCGCTATCGGAAGCGGTTTGACGGAATTCTGGTAGCCCCGAAGTGGTAATCCATTCTTTGAAGACATCATTAGACTTATTCTTGTTGGCTCTTTTATATTTTGGAAGATGAGGAGTAACCGCCTGCATTATAGCTTCGATGGTTTCAGCAGGCCAACCCGAGGCGTCGTATTTTTAACAAATCGGAACGTAATTTGCTACGAAGGAGGGGTAATTTAAAGGCTTTCCAGTAGACCAAAACATATCAGCCGCCATACGGCTAACATGGTTGCATTGTTTTTCGTTGATTGGCATTTTGTGTTTAGAGCAGATTTTATACATATACATTCTTACCTTATTAAAATGAGAGTCACGTGACTTCTCGCGAGGACTATAGACGATTTTTCTGTATCACGTGACTCTTTATCCGATTCCTCTGTATCACTTGAAACAGGCGCCGGCAGGGTAAAATGCGGTTTATTATCTTGAGATTGTGAATAAATAGATGCTAGCACCGACTGTATTTCAGGTAGATTATAATTTTTCATTACACCATATGGAAATATAAAAGTTCATAATGAGCAAGTTTTTTTGCGATACGGTTTTTATTATAACAAAAAAGTACGTATTATTTCTACGCTACATAGCACTGATACAAACTATCAATGAAAAATATAGAACAACTACGATAGATTTGGAAAATGTTAATCATTTTTCTTTCATCATGTTACTGTTAAATTTTGCCGAATTTTCAAGGAAAGTGTTTTCGACAAGCTATAAAAAAACATAGTTAAGTTTTGAATTTTTAAAGTAAGGTAAAAAAAGCAAACTATGAAATACATTGTATTCTAGACTAAGTTCATTGGCACAGATACATTTTAACCGGTCCAAAATCTTCTGTAATGGACCACGGTCCAAAACGCGTAATTTTCAAACAGCAAAACGGAAAACCATTTACAAATGTAAGTCGAAAAAACGATACAATGGGAAACCGTTTAATTTTTACTGACAAAAACTAGAAAAGTAAAATTAAACCCGTACAAATCATTAAGGACAAGAAAGAAAGGAAGCTTCGTTCCAGGTTAAATAATGCCATATAATAAACCTTCTAATAACCTCGCTTTCTCGGTCTTACTGAGAAATATCGGACCTCTGTCATTTTGTACAGACCAAACTATTTACAAAAAGACCTCGCGCTCGGTTATTGATGGCTTATTAATTGAAAAAATACCTCGCTTTTTAGCAAATATTATACTCATACCTTTGGATTCAAAAATTGCTCCATTTATCAAAACATACTTGTTATTCAGGCCAGTGGTCACGAATGAAGCATACGACAAAGCAACTTCCCAACCTGAGCCCATTGGAGATGCCGTAGTTATACCAGTTCGACGGTAGACCACGTTGTTACTTTTTACTCCATATACATCACCAACTTCTCCAGCCTTAAAAAGAATATTTTTAAAATACTTCGCTAAAGATAGGAAATATTAACTTTATATGTATCGTAGTGGTTAAAATATATTAATCCTAACACGGTTTTAATATGCACATGAAAAACATGTGACTTGAACTCGAGATTTGAGCTCGCACCTTCCGGTTACTAGTCCGCCGCTCTTCCTGTTGAGCTACCAAGCCCACAGTGGTTATAAACAATTGAATACTACCTCATTAGAAGGAGAATGCAGTAAAAAGAGAACAGAATGTGTCCTAATAAAAGCTAATCACCGTATAATGTGTTAAAGATAGGTCAGTTCTAAGTTTTCTTTCAAAATAAAAGTTTGCATGCTTCCTTCTTAACATAACATTTGCTATAAGTAAATTAAAAACTGAAATGTTAGTTATTTAATTCCCTAATGTATTCCTTCTTTACATATATTCTTGTGAATGATTTAAAGCAAGTAATCTAAATTACATGACATAAAATTAAAACAGCTCAACATACTAACATTATTGTTGAAAGAAAGTTCATTACAATCTTGCGATATTTTTTAAAGGCGTTAAAATTGGCCCTTTCAGTCTAACAGAAGTTTTTATTTAAGAAAACAAAAACAACGAAAACCAAATATCTTGTCGTGACAAAAATGTTTCACATAATAACAAACGATGCCTTTAGCAGGAAAAGCTATTTATTATGTGTTTGAGGCAAGGTTTGCTTAAGGCATTGCCTTTCAAAACAAAAGAATCGAGTATGCTGTTTCACCTATCATTGGGAATGTAGTGATTACAAACCTCGATTTGCTTAAGACTTCCTCCGATATGAGTCCAACTTGTTCCAGCACAATTCTGTGCTGATACACCAGAACGATACCAAATTTGGTTATGTCTATTTAAACCCCAGCATCCCAAAGCACCGCAACTAACGTATTTGAATCGACCAGAAACTTGCTTCCATCCTGTTCCTTGGAGGTTATTAGTTGAGATTCCTAAAAAAATAAGAAACATGCATTTTAATAAATTAATGCTGGTGCTTTTCCTCAAACTGCGTTTGTTGTTTTGGAGATAACAGTTAGAATAACTTTTAATAACTTTATCATGTCTTGTCGTAAATGGTATCTGCATACGTATGTTAGAAAATATTAGTATACTGTGAGAAACTTTGCAAACATCAGCCACTTATAAAAATAACAAGTAAATACCTAAACGACAATAAATGTAATTGTTTCTGTTCACTCCATATACAATTCCTTCTGGACCAGAATCAATTTGTTTCAACTTTCCTGAGATTTGTTTCCAAGAATGTCCCCCAATTATAATAAATGTTATCGTGTTTATCTACTCCCCAAACACCAGCTGCACCAACAGAAACGTGTTTAAGTCTTCCAGAAATTTGAGTCCATGAATAATTTTTGTTAAGGCGGTAAATATTGTCATGGCGGTTCACACCCCACACACCAACAGAAAGACCATGATCAATCTGTTTCAATGAGCCTGCGATCAAACGCCATTGTTCTGTAATGCACGAGAAATTTATTTAGGCAATAAACTGACAGGTTTTGTGGTTTTGCGGAAATTTTAATGACAAAAATAAAGACTATTTGTTATTAAAATCTATATATTAGTCTTTTCATGTTGTTTACAAAAGCCTATGATATAACAGAAGTATATGACATCTTATACTTTTCGTATTTATTGATAGAAACACTTTCGAAATTTGGAAAAACTTGAAGTTGCTTATGAAAGTATTCATTTCTCCCTTTCTTGCATGTGTTAAAACTCTACAGAAACTCGGAAAATATTTTCTGTTTCTTTAATAGTGTCCTGTTGTAGTGTCGTAAGCAACGTAAATTTTCAATGATGTATGAGACCATATTGAATAAAATAAATTGATAAATAATGGAAAATCTTTACATTTTTTTATACAATTTGTGCATAAAAAACAGCTCAGTGAAAGTATTTACGTACATGCAAAATATCGAGGAGGAAGACCATTGGACTAATGATATTACGAGAAAAGCTATAACATATTACAGTTTGGTCAAAAACCATATGGGTCGCCCATTTTTTTGTCCTATTATATGGTAAGATAAAAAACATTTATCTATCTTCATCTATCTTGAGATTGAAGTTCTAGTATGTTCAGGTCAGTTGCATCTATGGAAGAGCGCGAAAAATTAGTCAAAGAGTTTGTAAAAAAACGCGCGGAACTCAAGTGGCGCCAAGTCGATTTCAAAGTGTCTCGACAGCACGAAGGAGAATTCTTTGAAAGGGCGTCTGAACCAATTGTTGATGCTGAAAAATCTGTAGCAGAAGCTATTAACAAAAACAAGACAAAGGAAATTGAAGGGTGCAAGAAGTCACTCAAGCGGTTGAGGACACTCAACAGCAGCTTGCCCAACGGCTAGATGATCTACTCCTTTTAACAAATGACAAACAATCTTGGAAGGCTATAGAGAATTCAAATTTGCTTGATCAGTTGGAGGCTGGTGAGTATATCAACGACGTAGATTTTGAAAATCTAGGAAAATCTATTGGCCCGTCTACAAGAAGAACCGCTTCTCCAGCTAACCGAGAGCTATGTAAAAAAACCTTGAACGTTACAATGTTCTAAAAGAAAAAAGAAGAAGTCGCCCGAAACGACTCTTTAAAATAACACGAACAGAAACTGGAGTGCACTATTATAATAGCCCATCAGAGCTTATCAACCGCCTTCACCTTTCCTGCAAGTCTGTAGAGGCTGGTAATAACCCTCTTGAGTTGAAAAACGATATTGAAGCGATTCTAACAAAACAGCTAGACGAAAGTGCGATATCGAAAAGTTATTACCGAAAAATTAGAAAGAAATACGTGCGTTAAAAATTTCCTTCTTATATATTATACAGAGCTATTGTTCATTGTCGATATAACCATAATGACTGAAGTATTAGAAGACGAAATTAGCATTGAGATAGACTCAAAAAGAGCCATTGCGGCGCACGGTGGAGAAGCGAATGACTTTCAAATTGGCTTTAGGCCACCTATACCTTTAAGAGGCTAACAAAAAATATCAACATATAAAAAATATATATACAAACATATAAAAAATATCAAGTGGCTCTTACTGAAGCTAGTTTGTGGAATTCGTGAGAAAATATCACTACTAAAAACAATCAGCTTGAGTTTGAGATTAGAAATGGAAACTATGGTGATATTGATGGTGCACAGAGAGGAGAGCTTAAACAGACTCCAATTCAACGGCGAAAAATCACAATACGCCCAGGCGCTTACAACATTCCCGATATCAATCAAGTTATTGAAAATGCTATGGAAGCTTTGGGGGTAAAGTTCGCACATGAAGATGAAACCGCAAGACGTGATCCACCCTTTGTGCTCTCAGTAAATATTCCCACATCTAAATCTAAGATTACTATTAAAGGTGACCTTGTAGTTTCCTTTGACACAGATAACAGCATGGGCCTTATTCTTGGGTTTGCTGTGGTTGGAGATGATATTACTAAAGGAAATACTTTAAGTCAGAATCGAATTAACATTACAGATGTACAGAAGATCCATATTCACTGCTCGCTTATTAATTCAAGTATAGTAAACGGGAATCGTAGTGATGTTATTAAATCGTTTACTCCAAACCAAGGACCGTGACGTTTGTTGGAAATAAGTCCTAGTCCACCAACCTACTTACCACTCATAAAAACTAGCCTTATTAATAAAGTGAGAATGGAAATCACTGATCAGTTAGGAAATAAGATTGATTTAAATGGGGAGAAAGTAACTTACATATTAAACATCCGTCCAAAAATGTGATCATACACGCTCATAAGCGGATTCCGATTCAGAAGCTGTTGCCATAATGGCTTATTTTCCATACATAATATACTAGGCAAAATGATAGTTCCTATGACTAGACGTGGTATAGTTCGTCGAAAAATTTCCGGGGGGGTCATTGATTGGAAACCTCGTGGGCCTTGCTGGTAAGGCAAAGTGTGCGCTATTCAGTGCGGTGGTGAACAGGCGTACCACGTGTACTGCTTCGTGCTTAGCGAGCGTTTCCTTCGGCTTAATGCGATTAACGGTAAAGTGAACATAATGGTTTAGTCTGTTTGTCTGATGTGATGATTAGTCTGATGTGATATATTACGTTTAATCCGATTACTTCGCACCAGAATTAATTAGAAATTTAAGAAATAAATAAAATTTTTTCGGTTTATATACGCAAATTGTTTTGCATGTGCACAAAATGTCGGACATTGATAACGCAATATTCGTTAAAGCTCTCGGACCAGCCATGGTGCGAATAATCTCTCAGGAGCTTAAAGGCGCTGGTATTTATCTTCTTGGGTCAAGAAGTATAGAAGGTGATAGCTTTATTAGAAATCTTGTCGAAAAACTCATACCTACGGTCATTAAACTCATACCAAAAGTGTTACCGTCTCTAGGCCTAGCAGCTATATCAGGTGTTATTACCGGCAGCACGCAAAAAAGCAGTTGCTGGTAGTGGTATAGTTAGAAAAAGAGGTATTACACCATTTAATGGACTTGAGTATAAAAACAGTCTTCTTGGTTTCGGTAGTAGCTCTGTTAAGAAAGGTCGTTCTGGATACACAGTTCACGGTGTTAAACTTCCAAAAGATCAGAAAACTACCTTGGCAAAAGCAGTTAGAGACCAAAGTGGAGTAACTTTGCGAATTACCAACAGCGCTCTTGAAGGCCCTGATATGCTTATGCTTACTAATACACAGATCAAGCGAATAATGGGTGCAAGATCCAAAGGATCTGGAATCGATCTAAAATTGTCTAAGAGTCAGATTACAGCCATGACGTGCGCGCAAAAAAGGTGGATTCCTTGGTTCTTTGCTCGCAGGTATATCTGCTCCCATCGTAGCGCCTGTCCTCGGAAAAATCCTTGGATTAGAAACGTCGGAGGAAGGAGTATACCTCCCAGGGACGCATTGACGCGGGAGGAAGTGGAAGCCGCTATCAAACAAAGATATCAATCGTATAGTAAATGGCAATCTAAAAGCAGTGGCTAAAGGTTTTAAGTGGGTTTTCTTAAAAGACATGCTTCCTAAAGAGCCTCTTAAAGCTGAAGAAAGTGTTATAATCAACTTACAAGACTTTCTCGACGGAGGTGGGACTCACTGGATTTGCGCCTTTGCTGATGAGTTCTGTGTAAATTACTTTGACAGCTTCGGCCTTCCACCATCTGACGTAGTTAAAAGTGGATGGAACGGTCAAAACTTGTTGTTTGCTATTCTTGCAACGAGATACAAGATCGGCAATCCATTATGTGTGGGTGGTACTGCCTTCTCTTCTTACACGATTGGGTTCACAATCGGTCTGCGACAGATATTCTGTTAGATATCGATTCGCGCCCTTCTGCGCATAACGAGCGTATGGTAAAACGGTTTGCTAGAGAAACTCTAAGAGCGCGCTAATAATTAACATCGCGATGCAATTTTTACATCAGACTAAATTTTTGTGCATTATATAGAGATGGCCATCGCTTACTGTTTGTACTGTAAGAAACAACAACTTGTTGTCAACGGAAAAATCGAATCTACAAAAAACCAACCTAGGCTCACGGAGCGCTGCCGACTCTGTGACAAAGGCGTCTCCTAGTTTCTTTCTAAAAGTGAACTTCTGGATAAAAAAGGAGGAAGAATTAGAGGTTTGAATAGTGCGCTTCCATTCGAAATTAATACTATTGATTTGGCAATCCAAGCCGCGGATAAAATTGATAAAATCGGAAAAGCTTGGTGAACATAACACATCAAACTAAAACATAGTCAAGTGAAAATGACGGTCGCGTTTTGTATGCGTTGCATAAGATTGCAACCAGTTATAAGTGGTATAGTTGTAAACCATAACGGCTAACCCCAGACTTGCAGGGCGCTGTGGTGTATGTGGTAGTGCTGTTTCTAATTTTCTTTCCTAAAGAATCTCGTCGTAATGAAGGAAAATAATCGTTTCTACGGACGGAAGCGTTTAGAAACGCCTCGCAGAGGCGTACTACATTCCTGCCGGGTACTGGCGCGCATTGCTGCTATCCCAAATCTGGCAAAAGAAGCTGGCGAGGCTCATGAATTGATAACGGGCCATCTGGCAGATCTACTTTCCCGCACCAGCGCGAAGTACTATCCCCCGTCCTAAGTTTGACAACAGCACCCCGAATGAGGTCCACCAGGCCGACCTCTTGTATCTGACTCACGATCGAGTCGGAAGACGCACATTCAAATAAGCATTGACGGTCGTCTACGTAGCAAGTCCGTATAAACAGGCCCAGGCAATCACAGACAAGACAGCGACTCAGCTTGGGAAGGCGTTAGAGTCTATTTATGCCCGTGGGCCTCTTCGAAGGACTAAAGTTTTACACGTCGAATCTGGTTTGGAGTTTCGGGGGCTGTGCAAAAAGCGTGTGATAAAAATGGTGTCACAATTCGACGGGGTAAGGTTGGAGTTCATAGAGAGGGAATCGTAGAAAGATTTAACCGATTTTTGGCGGAGCGACTGTTCGG